GGCACATACCCTCATGCCCATGTAGAAGGGGATGACGGTGACACGGATGTTCTCGGTTGTTTCCCGGTGGACATCGGAGAGCTCCAGCCAGGGGTGATTCTTCTCTTGCCAGGCCCGTAGCGTCTCCCGAGCCGCAAAAGGGGGTGCTGGGGCAAGAGATCGACTGGTTAGTCCAGGCCAGCGTCCAGGGCGTTACACCCTGCCCAACTGCTCCTCCTAGAAAACCCTTCCCAGTGGTGGCCCAAGTAAACAAGACACCCAAACGTGAGCAAGAGCACAGGCTGGAAGAACACACAAAACTGCCTACCAAGAATAAGCCCTGAGGAGGTATGTGACGTCAGAGGAAGAGAAATGGACTGGGAGTTAGGAGCCCTGGTTTTCAGACCTCACTCTGCCACTACCTAGCAACCTTGAGTCCCTTCTCATCATCCCTGAGTCTGTTTCCATATCTGTAAGGAGGAGATAATAGCCATCTACCTGACAGGTCTAATGGGAGATTAAATAAGATTGTAGAAATAGAGCTTTGAAATTGCTGCTGGGATATTCTCTTTGAAGAAAGGGCCCTCCCACTCCACCTTCCCTCTATGACAGAAGTTACCTTTTGTCTGGTCATATAGAAGAAATCTTTCAAAGAGCTCGTGCTGGATGGGAACCTGATCAGTGGAGGTGTAGGGGAGGATGTCTTCATGGCTGACATAATCCAGGCCTGGCAGAGAGACAGAGACAAAGAGACAGTGAAACTCACATAGGAGGCGGGGAGGAATGGGGCTGAAAAGAAACACAATTCCTGGCCTTATGGCAGGGTGGGACGACCCTGGCACCACTGCTCTCAGCGTCTATACTCCCTCCCAGCAGATTAAAGGACAGCAGAAAGGCCTCAGAATCCTCTCCCTGAGACACACCAGACCCCCCTCATTGACAGGCACCACTCAGATGCTCCTTACTCACCTGGGATGGCATAGAGGGCCCGGCTGTCATCATGGTTAGCCAAGAAAGTCACAGCTTCTGTCTGAGATCTCTGAGACTAAGGCAAGAAGCGAGTCAGGGATCTTCTCGGTCACTATCCAGTCCTGAGGACTTAGGGCCCAGTGCTGATCTGGGCCTGTTTGACCCCTCTCCTTCTTAGTCCCCATCACGGTTCAGGGCTTTCCCATGGAAAGGAACCCCAGGCGCAACCATCTTGCTTACTTACTATATGTGGACAGTCTCGGGCATCAATCAGCACCTGATAGTAAGTGTGAGTTTTGCCTTTCACCTCCTTCGAGCCGTGGCCGGCAGGGTTCTCTGCTCTATGGGGCAGGAGAAGCCCAAGATCAACCCCAGAGAAACGGAAGCAGTGCCTGCCCCAGCTCCCTACCACCCCCTCACCTCAACAGACCAGTGCCCAAGCTGAAGGAGCTTAGCACCAGCTGGGTAGCTGTGCAGCACACCCTGGCCCAGCATTCCTCAGTCAGGGGCAAGCAACAGAGTGTGGTGTAGAGTCATTATTTGTCTCACTCTCTGGATGCCTCTTAGAAAAAAAAAGGGCCAAGCTGAGAAAATCAAACTGCAGCCTTAGTCCCTGGAGCCCAGCGCACCCCACTCTTCTCACATCCCAGGGGCTGTCTGTGATCATTTAATGGAGCTGGGCCTTTTCTTTTTTAATGTACTCTAGTGATGATAAGAGATTAAGGGAAAGATTCTAACTGAACATCAAGAAATCAAGAAGCCTAGTCCCCCAGATGCCCTCTGGGGTACTTATAATGCAAATTGAGAATGCCTTGGGAGAGCATCTTGGGGAGACCTAAAGGGACCTCCTAGCTTAAGACTTTTGTCTCCATGGGTATTAGTGCCAAGGGAGTGTCCTGGGACCGCTCCTAAGGCCCAGAAGGATGCTGCCTTCAGTGCTGGGACCCCAATTATGTATGTCTGCCATGAGTCAGGCCTCCTCCTGAGGATACTGTGAGGCACAATGATAGGGAAACTTACTTTTCTGGAGCTACAGAAGCCACATCCCGGTCATACAGTCTGGCCTGCCAGGGAAACAGGACAACACCTCGGTAGCCAAAAACACTGTGAAGGAAAAGCTGGGAGAAAAGAGAGGCCTCAGTCAGTGTGCAGTCCAGCAGGTCCATCCAGGTGGGGCCCCGACCCCTAAGTGGCACAAGTGGTGGCAACTCCAGCACAAGGTCTTGCTACTCTTTCCCTTGAACTCTGTGATCCACCCAGACCAACTCTGGAACATGCTTACTGCCTCTTTACCTGCCTGACTTCTACTCATCCTTTTTTTTTTAAATTTATTTATTTTTGGCTGCATTGGGTCTTTGTGCTCGGGCTTTGGGAGCTACTCTTCATTGCGGTGCGTGGGCTTCTCATTGCGGTGGCTTCTCTTGTTGCGGAGCACAGGCTCTACAGCACAGGCTCAGTAGTTGTGGCACACAGGCTCAGTAGTTGTGGCTCACGGGCTCTAGAGCGCAGGATCAGTAGTTGTGGCACATGGGCTTAGTTGCTCTGCGGCATGTGGGATCTTCCCGAACGAGGGCTCAAACCCGTGTCCCCTGCATTGGCAGGCAGATTCTTAACCACTGCACCACCAGGGAAGCCCCTACTCATCCTTTAGGCCATAGCTGAGGTCTCTAGGAAGCCTTCCCTCACCTGCTCTCCAGTTAGCACACTGTACAGCCGTTGACCATTTGCATATTGTAATTCCTTTCTAGACTGTCAACTCCATGAAGGCATTGCTTTCTGATTTAACACCAATGCATAAAGCTTAGTCCATTGTAGGCATACGGGAAAAAAAAGTTGAATAAACAAAAAGTCCTCCTTACCTACAAGGGGCCTAAATCTATCTCAGTGGATCTGGCACAAAGCTGACACAGAAAAAGAGCCTCACACCCAGAGCTTACTTCACTGCAATCAGTTCAACTATGACAAAGCATCAGAAAGCAGGTTTGCTTTTCTGAAAGCTCCCTCCACTGGCTTCCTACCAGCCACTATGTTAGACGACTCTTCAGCAACAGGACTCTCTCCTCAATACAGTCCAAACCATCTCTGTCCACACTAACTTGGAAACAGAACCCAATGACACATGAAATGTACTCAAATCCAGGAAAACAGAAAACCCGTCTTAAAAAAAAAAAAAAAACTTGATTCGGGTCTGGCACCAAACACCAAGGCAGAAAACCATAACTTTCAGGCCTGTGACCAACTCTGACCCTTTCAGAAGCAGAGTACACAGTGAGAATGAAAGATGACGCAGCCCAGCACTCACCTGCCCAGTCTCATATTTTCCGTTCTGTTTTGGCACCTCAAACACACCAACTGTCTCCAAAACTTTGCCCTCTGGTCGGTTTCTGATTAGGAAGGAAAAGAACAAGCAACTGAACAGCTAAGAAGTGAAGGGTACTAATCCATCAGTAAAAGCTACTAGGATACTGAGGGGCCAGGGCAATGACAGCAGAGAAGGGTAGCAGCAGTGGGGCCAGCTGAAGCAGGTAAGGGTCCTGCTAAGCCACCACTCCACAGAGATTCTGCCTTTCCTCCTTTGAGGTCCAGCCACAGATGCCTCCATAAGATCTGACTGCTCCCAGATCACTTTCTTCTCTCTTGACTCTCAGCATTCCTCATATCATGCCCTCAGACCCTGCTTAATTGTATCCCTTGCCTCCATTCCTTCCCTGACCCACCCTCCTGAACTCCCACAGCATTTTAACTGCCCTTTCCACCTTGCATTTCAGTTATTTGTGTCCCTGTCTTATCTCCATTAGAGACTGCAAGTTCTTTGGGAGCAACGCCTGTGTCTGATTAGCCTGTGCTCCCTCAAAATCTAGTGTATAAACGGTGCTCAAAAAATACTTATTTTGTGTTATAATTCCATGTCCATCTCCCCCTCTAAACTGCAGTCCTCACCCCTGCACTACACCTAGTATTATTCTCTCAGTCTAGTTTTTGTTCAGATTTAATCAGTTTTTACAGGAGCCTTAAATTGGAAATAGCTATCATCTCTCTCCAGTGTCCGTGTCTAATCTCACCCACTAAAAGGTCAGCTCTTACAGTGGTCTCTCTGGACAGGGCTGCTCTTTCTAGGGGTCCTTCAAAGCACTGTTTTCTTACTATTTTGGAGATGTGAACTTTATGTTTCCTGCCACTTGATTCACCTGCCCCAATTTGATCTGCCTGGCCCATCCCTAGAGACACTGCTCACACCATCCCCATGGCCTCAAACCCCATTCCCCAAGTCACATAAAGAGAAAGTGTGTCCCCAAGGTCACATTGAAACCTGGGACCCACGCAGGGCGCAGATTCGGATCCTGTTTCCCACTTCTAGCATCTTTCTGTGGGAGGCCTTGGCCCAGTCACGGGCTGGGGGAAAGCCCTAGGACTTAATTAAAGGGCTGCCCACTAACAGCGGCGCTCGGATTCCCACATTCTGGGAAGTAAGATTCGCTCCGGGAGGGTTACTAGTTCCCCCTCAGAGCCAGCCCTGCACAACCCAGGGCTCTGGGCCGCGCTCCCTTGTCCGCTCCTGGCACGCGTCGCGGGCAGCGCAGTCGGCTCCCGGCCAGAACCCTCTCCCGGGTCGAACTCCAATCACCCCCAGCCGGCCGGGTTCCCTGGCCTCCCCTCTGGCCCGGGACACGCTCCCTGGGCTCCGGGCTCGGCCCCCGTGCTTCGTCCCTCACCGGGACGAGAGGTGCCTCCGCGTCGTCGTGGTCGCCACTGGTGGGAAGGTCCCAGCTCCACCCGCCGCACAGAGCGGCCTCGGCCCTCGGGCCCCGGTCAGCGACCGGGACCACCAGCGACTGCCCACGGTCAGGGCCCGCCGGGCCACACAGCCCGCCATGTCCCGCCCGAGTAGCCGCTGCGCTGCTGACACAGGGTTCGACCCGCCGCCGGGCGGCGTTCCGCCCCCGCCCCACACTGCCCTGCGCCGCTTCCACGCCCCCTTGGCCCTCTGCCCCGCCCCGCGAGCTTCGCGCTCCTTCCGGCACAGGCGGCCGGAAGTCCCAGCCCGGGGTCACCTGACCTTCAAGTCGGCTAGTCATGGCGTCTTCCTTGTTAGTCGGCGAGCGACTTGTACGCGCTTTGAGCCCCGGTGGAGAGCTGGAGCCAGAGCAGCTGCCCGGGAAGCTGCGGGAAGAACTTGAGGCCGTGCTAGGGAAGAAGCACAAGGGCGGCGATCGTCCGGCTGGCCCCGCTCGCCTGGTTTCTTTCCGCCTGATCCGGGACCTGCATCAGTACCTGAGAGAAAGGGGTGAGCCCCAGGCTCCAGTCCAGAGTCGCCTCCTTTTTTCCAGAGTTTAGTCTCTCCTGAGGTCTTTTTTCCTACCTCTATCATTTTTATGAGGGATGTATCTGTTGCGGATCCAAACTCGCGGCTTGCGTTACTCCCAGCAAAGCCAATCTACTGAGGCACGGTTGTGGTGAAGGAAAGTACAGTGTTCAATGCAGGGTGCCAAGCAAGGGAGTGGGAGACAAGCTTCAGATCCATTTCAGCTTGGTCTTTGAGTTAAGGGGTTTTCGTTTAAGGGAGAAGAACAAAGAGACTGGGAATAATCACTGTCATGTGACATTTCCTAATTGTCGTTTTGCGAGTCAGGATGTCTCTGATTAAGGATTCTCAGGCCAGGTGGTCCATGGCTCCGGCGTCTGTTAGCTTACCTTGCCCTGGAGAAACAACCTGAGTTTGCAGGTTTATGATGATATCTATAACAGCACTTTTAGTACATTAAAGATGTCATCAGCAATAGCAGTTTTAGTCATCTGACTCTGGTTCATTAGTATTGTTAGCAAAGGATTGAGGTTAGAGGGGACAAGAAAGGGAATAAAGTTTTGGATAGAGAGATTAATTATAAACTCATTAAGGGAACTCAGTTTTAGGGGGACTGGGTTTCAAATCCATCACTCTCCTTCACCCATGGAATGATCATCTGGCCAGCCCAAGAGTCACCTCATAAACCCTGGGGAGCCCACTCCCTTCATAATTTCCATGGGAATTCTTCGTGGATGACAAAATTTACTTGTGCAGTTTCTGTTCTCTTGAGTCTCCTCTTAACTTCCAGGCCCACTTAGGCCCACCTGACCCTTGAGGAAGTCCAAGTTCTAACCCAATACCACTGCACAGGTTCAGTTTCTTTCTTTTAAGCCACACTAAAAAACAACTTAGCATAGTGAGCTTGCCCTGTTTGGGAATCTGGATTTCTTAGCAAAAGTGCCAAATCTGATGGTTTTTTTTGTTTTTTTGTTTTGTTTTGGCTGCGCCGCTCAGCCTGTGGGATCTTAGCTCCCCAACCAGAGATTGAACCCAGGCCCTCAGCAGTGAAAGTGCGGAGTCCTAACCACTGGACCACCAGGGAATTCCCTAATGGGATTTTTTTGTTTTTGTTTTTAGATATAGGATGATGGAAAAGTGTGTTGAAAGATCTGAACGGGGAGTAGCATCTAAGTTCTAGACCTAACTCTGCTATTAACTCTTCTTGGAGAAGTCATTTCTCTTCCTTGGGCCTCAGTTCCCTGAACATGTAAAGGGGGGCAGTAGGACTAACTGACATGTGAGGTCTTTTGCCGGAATTAACAGCCTACCCAGAAGTGTGAAGGGTAATTCTTCAATTATTGGAACTAAAAAGGACCATAGAGATCATCTAGTACAGTGTCCTGTGAGTATTTGCCACCACTACGCCTTAAACCTATTTAGGGCAAGTTCTGTTGTGGCCACAGAAATTACCTAACTTAAAGGCAAATATAAATGGCTTACATGTTATTGGCTGTGACATTGGTAGGGTAATTGAGAGCCAACAATTAAAGTCAGTATGTAGCACTAGGAGATACTTACGTGGGATTGTCCTAGTTTCTTCCCAGTTGAAAATGATCCCGGAGATGAATTGGTACAGGCATGGCCATGCTTTATTTTGGTAGAAAGAACTGAAGAGCTAGACCTTTCTCTGATGTTAATCCTTCAACCTCAGCTCTATGCATCATTATGTTTGTGGAAATCTTTTCTTCCTAGGTTCCACACTATACCTTCATGAGCTCCTAGAAGGCAGTGAAATCTATCTCCCAGAGGTTGTGAAGCCTCCTCGGGTATGTAAGGGATATATTTGTGAGAGTGGGTGTTGGTTGAGTTGGGTTTGTTCATGATACATCCAAATTTATGAATCTACATTTGGGCTCAAAAATTTGTCTTTTAAATCCTTGAATGCTGGAGTTGGGGAACCAGATATTGTCCTCCTAGTCTGACAGCTTGGAGAACTGAAATTTAAAAAAAAAAAAATAGTTTCCAAAGCACTGGAGGCAGAACTGGTACGTGGGTCTTCTTAGTACTTTGTCGCCTGAAACTAGTGATTGTGACATGCTTTCTAGCAAGCTGGGAGTATCATTCTTCTCATTTGATTTTTCTGCCTCAGAACCCAGAGCTAGTTGCCCGTCTGGAGAAGATTAAGATACATCTGGCCAATGAGGAATATAAGCGGATCACCCGCAATGTCACCTGTCAGGTAAGGGCCCGCTCTTCAATACATGGACTGTGTAGCCCCCGAAAGCAGGGCCCTGCTCTGGGAAGAGGTACAAATGAAAGAAGCAACATGGAAACTTGGCTTGTATACTATTAAGGGACCGTAGAAGCTCTGTGCTGCGTACAAGCCAAATGCAATTCCCAACTCATTTACTGAGACTCTGGGCTCAGATGGTGACTGAGTCTTAAAGGGTATAGAGGGTGGGGATGAGCCTGGAGCCATTCTTCTGACGTGGCTCCGTCCTATTCTCTGTATGCTCCTGCCCCGGAGCAGGAGAGGGGTACATGGGTACTGGGAACCTATGTCTCTTCTCTGAAATGCTTGACCTGTGGTCCAGAGAAGAATCCAACTGGTCCCAGACAAAATCCATGGAGAAGGCAGAACTAATGTGTTGGGTAATAAAGAGGGCTGAGCCCAGACTGACAAATGAATACTTGCTGGGCTGCCTCTGAGCTGCTTCCATTCTGAAATCCTTTGCTTTTTCTTTTTCCCAGGATTCAAGGCATGGTGGAACCCTCAGTGACCTGGGAAAGCAAGGTGAGGTACTAGGAAATCAGGTTGCTAAAGCCTGTCCCTGGGACTGGTCAGTCATGGCCCTGCTTCCCACTCCAGTGCTCTGGGTTTAAGCCTGAGCTATTCAGGCTTGCTGTTGGAGGGAAACCCAGCTGAGCGGGGAGGCAGCCATGAGATAAAAGGGCCTCTTGGAGGATGCTGACCTAACGGTTTCTTCCCTGGGCTCCTCCCCAAAGTGAGGTCAGTGAAGGCTCTGGTCATCACCATCTTTAACTTCATTGTCACGGTGGCAGCTGCCTTCGTCTGCACTTACCTTGGAAGCCAGTATATCTTCACAGAAATGACCTCGGTGAGTAGGTACTGGTCAGGGCAGGGTGCCCCAGGTGGGAGTGTTAGTGGGAAAGGGAGGACATATGTGAAAATGCCTTGAACAGGTTAGGTATTTATGTGATAAACAAGGGGGACATTAGATCCAGCCAACAGTCGTAGAGGTAGGTAATAACCTCAAGAGAATCCAGATTCTCTTTTCTTTCCTTCCCCCCAACTTATGGGCTGGGTTGAGGTCCTCTCCATCCTTATTAGGTGCTAGAGGCTGCAGAGCTGGAAGCTGGCCTGCATCCCCTAAGCCTGGTTCTCTCACTTCCCAGCAGGTACTGGCAGCATTGATCGTGGCCTCTGTGGTGGGTCTGGCTGAGCTGTACATCATGGTGCGGGTGATGGAAGGTGAGCTGGGAGAGCTGTAACCGTGCTTCATCATCAAAGTCTGGAGACTCCAGGCTCCCAGCTCCCAATCACTGATTCTCAGTCAACCCATCAGGCTCTTTGTACTCAGCTCCGATTAGTCAGAGGGCCGAGCCAAGACCACCTGCTGTTCCTGCAGGGAGCCCCATCCTCTGTCAATTTACAGAGTGGGCAGTAGAGGAAACTCAGACAACGACTGGAAAGAACTGGTCTATCTGTACATTCTCCTGAACCCGGTGCCCATCTGCCTTCTACAGTCCATTCTGGGCATTGCTGGGGCTGGGTTTTTTTCTTCCATTGGAAGTAAAGAGAATCCAGGCCTTTCCAGAAGTAGACCATACTGCCTTGAACTTGCCCAGGTGCAGAAACCAGTGGTCATCCTTGCTCCACACATCTTGATGCAGACCTGTAATTTAGATCAGAAGACTCCAAGAAAGCGGAAGGGATTCCCTTTCTTCAGTTTGTGCTGGAAGAGGAACCAGTTAGAGGACATCAAATAAGAGAAAGCCGGGTGGTACAGGACGGTGGAATCAGAAGCAAGGCAGCTACGTTTTTGGAATCTTAGTTTCTGTTTTCATCTTCTTCCTTCTGCTTGCCTTGCTCAGATTTTCTATATGCTTCTGCCCGTCTCCACCAGTCACCAGCCCTCCTTAAACCTCCCACCTTCCTATCACCCTTTGCTCTGCTTCCAAAAATGAAAACAGTTCAGATGGCAAAACAGTATGTTTGCTTTTAATTGCAAAACCCCTTGTGCTTGTTTGTATTTGTGGGGAGAGTATGCCTACTGTGAATTGTCTCAACTAGTAAAGGGAGATATTATTGGTAGACGGGACTATTTTCAGATTTAACTACATGTATAATTATATAAATATGAGTATACACTTTATAATATATATGATATGTGTACATATTGTTATACATTAGCCTAATGTAGGTTATTTTATGTGGATTCTTAAACATGTTTGGATAGGTGCAAAACAATAGTATGTAAAAGTTCACAGTTGACTAATTGTTTTACATGATTGCTTTTTGTCTTCACAACAATCCTGGAGGTTGGAAAAGGAAGTGGTTTTAGGCCCCTTTTCCAGAAGGCAAAACTGAGGCTGAGAGAGGTCAAATGATCTACTTCGGTCCTTCCTCTGTTAAATGGAGCCAAAGACTCCTAGGTTGTCCTGAAGTCTCTATGTAATGTTAAACTTCTAAGAACTTAGATTAGTGGTGTATTGATAGAATCTGTATAAGACGTTTAGAAATTATAGCAGCATTATTATTTATCCAATAAATATTTATTGTATCCAGTGTATTCTTATTTCAAATCTCACAACAACACAAAAGCCCAAAGATTTCCATAGTTGTGAGAATTGGTCAGGGTCTGCTCCTAATGGTGGATTCTGTCTTTCCGTTTGTTCAGTGTATGAGCTCCCATGGTCGTCTTTTTTCCCAGGACACTATTCTGTTCTTAGAAATTATACACTCATTGGCTCAGTAGATGTTTCCTCTACAATATTGCCAATTTCTTGAATTATAGCAAGTCAGCCTCTCAGGGCAATATTCTGCATGAGAGAGAGGGAGGGCTTAGGCCCTTCTGTTACGCCTCGGATAACTTTGTTGAGAAATCTTAGGATTTCTGTTGTTGATTGGAAGAAATGTCAACTGTGAGAAAAAATGCAGGTGGCGTTGTACAGTGTTTCTAGCAACCCAGACTGTTTAAGATTGAGTTAAAAAGCTACACTGAGTCACTCATTGCGCCTGATAAGCAAAGCCAAGCCAGATTTTTAGAATTCTTGTAGACATCATCCTTTCTCAAGTGACTGGGTCTTGCAAATGGAAAGAACTTTAACCTTCAGACCAATATCTATGCTATGTGCTTAAAAAATCTATTTGAATTATTTGCTTTGGTCTGTATTCCATTCTCCACCTTTGACAATGAATATCTCTGGGGTATTGGGGCCGAGAACAGTAAGAAAAAAGGGAAAAAATACGCAGATTTTATTCTGAAACATATAAATCAGAACAGAGAACCAGGGACTTCCCTGATGGCGCAGTGGTTAGGAATCTGCCTGCCCTGCCAATGCAGGGGACACGGGTTCAAGCCCTGGTCTGGGAAGATCCCGCATGCCACAGAGCAACTAAGCCTGTGTACCACAACTATTGAGCCCACGTGCTGCAACTACTGAAGCCCATGTGCTTAGAGCCCGTGCTGCGCAGCAAGAGAAGCCACCGCAATGAGAAGCCTGCGCACCACAATGAAGAGTAGCCCCTGCTCGCCGCAACTAGAGAAAGCCGGCACGTAGCAACAAAGACCCGACGCAGCCAAAAATATATATAAACAACGGAGAACCACAGAATTTTTAAATGCCACAAAAACTTAGATTAATTTTCCCAACCAAGCAATTCACAAAGACACTAATATTCAGGAGGATCACCTGGTCTGTCCAAGGCCACAGAGCTTATTAGAGCCAAGACTAGAACCCCTGGCTCTTGGCTGTCATGTCACCATTCTCCACACTTAACACTATTCAGTCTCTTCCTAAAGTTAGAAAATTGGTCAAATGAAAGTGCATATGAAGTACTAACATGGAGTGGGAACTCATTCTCACCATGTGCTTAATAATTGTTAGCTCCTTTTTTCTCTTCCTGACCTTCAGGAGTCTGAGGTTGAAGTATTCATTGTGTCTGATGCAGTTCCTAATTTTCTACATTCTCTCTCCTTTCTTTTACTTCATACTTAGGGTGCTCGAGGGAAGAGTGGAGAATACTGCCTATACTTTTGTGGGGTCACCATTAAGCTTTGGTATTAGGGAGCCTGACAACTCATGTGCCATAAGACAGACTTGGGGATTAAACTGATCATCACTTTGTCCTTTGGCTTTAGTCAGTAATATAGAACCATCCTCCATTTCAACTCTTCCGAGAGAAAACATTTCACACACTGACCTAAAGATATCTGGACAGTTATGATCTACATCAGGGATCAGCAAAAAGAGGTATTTAAAAAATATGTAGGGGGCTTCCCTGGTGGCGCAGTGGTTGGGAGTCCGCCTGCTGATGCAGGGGACACGGGTTCGTGCCCTGGTCCGGGAAGATCCCACATGCCGCGGAGTGGCTGGACCCGTGAGCCATGGCCGCTGAGCCTGCGCATCGGGAGCCTGTGCTCCGCAACGGGAGAGGCCACAACAGTGAGAGGCCCGCGTACCGCAAAAAAAAAAAAAAAAAAAGTAGGGACTTCCCTGCTGGCACAGTGGTTGGGAGTCTGCCTGCCAGTGCGGGGCACACGGGTTCGGGGCCTGGTCCCGGGGATCCCACGTGCGGCGCAGCGGCTACGCCCATGCGCCACAACTACTGAGCCCGCATGCCTGGAGCCCGTGCTCGGCAACAGGACACCGCAGTGAGAGGCCCGCGCACCGCGGCGAGGAGTGACTCCCGCTTGCCATAGCTAGAGAGGGCCCGCGCATAGCAACGAAGACCCAAGGCAGCCAAAAATAAATAAATAAATAAAAAATCAATTTATAAAAAAATAAAAATAAGTATCTAAAAAAGGCATACCAACAGCCCTTTTAGAAAGCAATTTATCTCAGCCATAAAAAAGAATGAAATAATGTCATTTGCAGCAACATGGATGGACCTAGAGATTATCATACTGAGTGAAAGTAAGTTAAAGATATCATATAATATCACTTATATGTGGAATCTAAATAATGATACAAATGAATTTATTTACAAAACAGAAACAGATTCCCAGACTTAGAAAACAAACTTACGGTTACCAAAGGGGAAAGAGTTGGGGGAGGGATAAATTAGGAGGTTGGGATTAACATATACACACTTCTATATATAAAATAGAAAATCAACAAGGACTTACTGTGTACCACAGGGAACTATACTCAATATCTTGTAATAACCTATAATGGAAAATAGTCTGAAAAAGAATAGATATATCTAAATGTATAACTGAATCACTTTGCTGTACACCTGAAACTAACACAACATTGTAAATCAACTATATTCTAGTATAAAATTAAAAAAAAATTTTAAAGCACCAAAACCAAATAAATAAAGTTCAATAGGACCCCCCTAAAAAATAAATAAAAATAAAAGCTACCCACACAAAAAAGTGATTTATCAATATCTGTAAGTGATGTTTGTAATACATTGCCAGTGTTCATCTCAGAGTTATGTCTAATAATAAAATTCTATATTGGAGGGAATTCCCTAGCAGTCCAGTGGTTAGGACTCTGCATTTCCATTGCAGGGAGCATGGGTTTGATCCTTGGTTGGGGAACTAAGATCTTCCAAGCCGCGTGGTGCAGACCAAAAAAAAAAAAAAAGGGAAAGATGAAATTTGGTAATTTATCAACTCCAGGGTGAGAAGGGTGAGAGGCATTGAACTGGGCAGACATGAGCCTTCACTTCACAGGCAACATGGAGACATCATGGTTAGGACTTGGTGCTCCGTGGGACTGGGTTCAATCCCTGGTTGGGGAACTAATATCTTGCAAGCTGAGCGGCGAGGCCAAAAAAAATAAAATTCTATATTGGATTCAACTTAAAAATCAGCAGTAAGATGATTAAGTAGATTATGGTAATAAATACATTTTAAAATAAAAATTATTATACAAAGATATTATTGTGCAAAATAAGTTGTTATACAACCCTGAAACATGAGAGAGAGAAAAAGCTTACACTGAAGCTTTGTGGAGAGTCATGGCTGTACTTACCTGTGCTAAACTCCGTGGGCCGGGGTGCGCACATATCCTCAAGTTTTCACAGCCTCCATGTACCTGGATTCAGGTTGAAAGACTTCCAAATTTTAGATAAAGAGCAGACCTTCTTTTTTTTTTTTTTTTTTTTGCCAGGCAGTTTGTAGGACCTTAGTTCCCCGACCAGGGATCGAACCTGGGCCCACAGCAGTGAAAGGGCCAAGTCCTAACCACTGGACCGCCAGGGAATTCCCGTCGAGCAGGGCTTCTTAAATAGCTTCTGACCCAGGGCATCTTCTCAGGACGCCATGGGAGTCAATTCCCCACACACTCCTCTTTCTTGGGATGGCATCCTTACCTGACCCCAGCCCCCTACTCACAAGCCAATAGGTTTCTGTGGCATTAACGTAGAGCTCCTTTATGGGCTGGCTTCTGAGACTAAAGCAGTCAAAGCCTTAGTGCCTGCTGAGGAAATGGCCATGGTGCAGGTGGCATCCATCTGCAAGGGCAGAATGAGAAATAGGAATCAGGTGACCCGTCCTCTAGTTCTCATCCCAGAGAAGGGAACTCTGCTCTCAGCCCCAGCCACTCCCTCTGTTTCACTATACCATGCTTTCTCCAGTGCAGTCTGGGTCCAGGGCTTCCCAGGGAGAAAGGGGAGTCCTTGGCAGGAGGCCAGAGGAGCAAGAAGTTTGGGACCTTCCCAGTTTCTCATGGCCCGCCGTAGGGGGAGTGAGCGGGAACTAGCGTGCGTTGAGAGTTTTTACAACGTGTCACGCACCACGTGAAGCCCTTCACCTACATTATTGCTTCTCGTTCCCAACACAGAGAGGAGATGAGTATTATCATCCCCATTTTTCGGGTTCATAGACTTTTGCAGAGTTCCAAGACTACACAGCAGCCAGGATTTGAAGCCGGCACAGACCAACTGCAGATCCCAAGATTTTCTTTCTGAGGCAGAGCAGCTCCAGGAGTGGAGGCAGCTGGAGTGTCCTGGAACAAGTGGGACCGGGAGCAGGGGATGCAGCTGAGGCTCCCATCTCTCCAGGGTCTGTCAGCCAGAGCCCTAAGCCCTTCGATTAACTCTCCCTCTAACCAATCCCAGCAGAAGCCTGGGTAATACCTCCCACCCAGAATCTGCGGGGAACCTGGCCCTGTTTAGGGATTAGGTGATGGAGATAAATTTCAAAAGCAAACGGCCCCCGTCGTCCCAATTCATTTGCAGCACACAACAATCCAGATTAAGGTACAGAGTTTGGGTTTTATTTGGAGATTAGTTGGTATTACAGACGACAGTGATATCAAAACCCAATGCTACCACATGCACCACACCCACCCCATCCCGAAATCTGTCAGGTTGTCTCCGCAGCCCCAGGTCAGAGGGCAGCCAATCTGATATTTGTGAAAATTAAATAAACGTAAGCCCTGCGTTCCTATCTCTACTTTATTACTTTAATATCACTCCCTCTTCAGATCCACGGTTGTGATTAATTCATCCAGGTGGCAGGAGGACAGGAGAGGGGGCCCTGATCTGTAAATTAGGATCGGCACTCTCCTAGCTCACTTGACAGTCAGTTAGGTAATGGCCCGAAGGGCCCT